ATCCCTGGAAAACTCCTATACAACTAGGTAACCCAGGAATAAAGAAACCCACAAGTCCCCAACTCTCAAATTTTGAGTCATCCTTGCTGTCTAACCAACCTCACCCTGAAGCACTCAGGATGAGGAGCTCACTATTCCTCAGGGCGTTCTATCTTACCGTGGAGATTTAAATCATTGCTACCCAACAGACATATTAACACATTAACTTTATTGCAAAAAGTAAAGAGTATGTTTGAAAAGTAAAATGAAACAAGAAAAATAAATTACAACAATACATTTTTTAAATCAATGTGCCCAAAAATATAATCAATAAATTGAAGTTTTACGTTCCTGTTTTCCACTAAGACCTCAGAAGTCTGGTGTGTATTTTACACTTCAGCTATTCTTCATTAGAGTAGCTACATCAGAAAGCAGTGGCCACATGGGGCTGGTGGTCCAGTAAGGGACTTTTTTTTCCTTATATTGAATGAAAATCAGACTCCTTTGCTATTTTTATACATTAGTCTTTGTTTTGTTCATGGTGTTTATTGATACAGTCATGCTGCCTAATGGGAGGGAAGCATTCTGAGAAATTCATCCTTAGATGATGTCATTATTATATAAACATCACACTGTACTTGTACAACCCCGATAATATAGCTGACTACATACTTAGACAGTATGGTGTGGCCTATGGCTCTAAGGCCAGAAATACATATGGTAGCACTTCCCCATGTTTTTAGTAAGAGGGACCAGTTTCGTGAATGAAACTTTTTGCATGGACTATGGGTGTGGGTGTGGATGGTTTCAGGATGATTCAAGAGCATTACATTTATTGTGCCCTTTATTTCTATTATTTTTACACTGTAACATTAAATAATTATATAACTCACCAGAATCAGGTAAATAAAATAATGGGCAGGCTACACACCCTAAAATAAAGTACCAAATTCTGGCTTAAAGTATGCCACCAGATACAACTGTGCAACTGAAGTATGTTAACTCACTTGTCGCTATAAAGCCTGCCACAGCTGCATCTTAATTGTCATTTTCCACTCACTGATAAGGTTTTGATCTGACTCTTCAAGCTAGATCTCTGCTAACGTACTTGTAACGGCTCTCCAGTGCTAGCATTACTGCCTCAGCTCCACTGCAGATCATCCACCATTAGATCTTCATAAGGAGCATGAAACCTAGATTCTGCACATGAGCAGATCACAGTAGGGTTTGAGCTCCTAGGAGAACATAATGTAGTAGTTGATCTGAAGGATGTGGCGCTCAGGTGGTAATAGGGATTTGGGGAGTGGCTGTAAATACAGATGAAGCTTTGCTCATTAGTCTACCACTCACCTCCTGCTGTGTGATCCAATTCCTACCACTTTCTGCACAGACGGTACTGCTCTGAATCCTGTAGTCAACTGTAACATACTGCTAAGCATTTGTCTCTTTAGACATCTCTAAACATAGAAAAGGTAAAGTAACAATACTAGGCAATAAGAACTTAACTCCATTATAATCTGTGGAACTAGCATGACATAGTATGTGCACTCCATTGTTGATCAAACCTTGTTATACTATACGTTTAACTCCGTCTCCACTTACTGGATAATTGGTAATAACCACTAACTACAAATAAACATTTATGTTGCTCTTACATCTGCCAACTGGTAAGCTGAATGCTTTTTCACATGGATTCCATTTAAAACTCACAACAGGCATGGTGACACATATCTATAATCCCAGTTACTTGGGAGACTGAGGCAGAAAGACCACAAGTTTAAGGCCAGCCTAGACATCTTGGCAAGATTCTGTCTCAAAATGAAATTTGAAGAAAAGGATAAAACTCATCGCTCAGTGCTTCCTGGATTCAATACCAGGTGAGGGGGAAAGAGCCCTAGAATGTCATTTTCCCAATGAAGAGAAGGAAAATATAAAGGACCACACAGTCACCCCCCTTGGAAAGCTGGCCCATAACTCAGGTCTGTGATTATACTCTTCAGCCTCTAACACTATGCTATCCAACGTGGCAGCCACTCAGCATGTGTACCTATCCAAATGGAAATTGAGGAATATCATAAATGTAAAATATACTTTGGATTTCAGAGATACAGTATGGAAAAATAAGCATTTTTTCCTATGAATAACATGTTGAAATGAAACTATGTTATGTTACATAAAATATATTACTAAAATTATAATTTCACCTGTTTGTTTTCACTTTTAAAAAGTGGCATTAGACAATTTGAAATTTAAATTTCATTGTGGCCAGCATTAAAATTTTATTTGGGCAGCGTTAGTCTCACCTATTTTATTCTAGGATAAATATTCTATATTTCTTCACCAGAGATACAAATGACCTCATTTCTAAACCTTTCTCTTAGATGCTTCTTAGGGCCAAGTGCTTCTTTATAGGGGTGAATAATGACCCCATTGACTGTTCTTTGTGACTTCCTTGCTCATGTCCTTTGCCCAACTTGGGCTTGGTGATTTCTCTTTCTGTTCTGTTAATACGAGACCACTTTTGTAAGCAGGATGATTTATATCTGCCCATTACAAAGTTGAAAATACTTCCTACTAGTCGTTGTTGGTCTTTTAAGTTTTTCTGTGGTGTCTTTGGCAGTGTGAGTTTGTTTTAAAGCAGAAAACAAATATTTTTCTTCTGTGGCTTCTGAGTTTCAAGTCTGCTGAGGAAGGTTTGGGCTAGTTTCAAATTCTAAAAAGTACTGCCTTGAATTTTCTCCCACTAGATTTACTTTTACTACTTGTTTCTTTCATCTAACTGGAATATATTTTTATTCATGATACGAGGATGGAGTCTGACTTAATTTTCTCTTGAGTGTATAGTCAATTGTTTTATTTCATGAAAAATTCATTTTTTCCTCCCTAAAGCTAAATGCCATCTGAGAAGCTGACCAGGCTCTGCTTGCTCTGTGTTGGCAGGGAAGTTGGCCACCATCAGCTTCATCTTTCCATCTTGCCAACTCAACAAACCCAGCAGAAAGAGATTACTAGCCTGGCAGGGGTTGTGGCATGCATCTATAATTCCAGCTACTCTGGGAGGCTGAAGCAGGAGGATCACAAATTTAGGTACAACCTGGGTGACACAGTCACTTAGAGAGACTATCTCAAAATAAAAAAAATCAAAGCAACTAGGGACACAGCTTAGTGCAAAGGTCCTAGGGTCCGTCCTGCGTCGGTTATTTTCTCTAGTTTCTGAGACAAAATACCTGATGCCCAAAACTAAGGAAAGAAAAGTTTATCTGGCTCACATTTTGTGGAGGTTTTAGTCCGTAATCAGCTGGCTCCAAAACAGGTTGGCATGGCAGAGGGGCAGCAGTTTGTAACAGTGGTAGACACAAAGGCAACAAGAACAAAAAGAAGGGGTGAGTGAGAAGACATCATGTTCCTATTGTATGTAGGCCACCCCTGTCCTAGGGTGGGTATAACACCCACACTCATAATCCTACTATTGGACTAGGAATTAATCACAAACTCTAGAAGCCTGCCCCCATGACTGCATGAGGCTTTGGGAGGACATTCAGATACAAACCATAACAAGTTCCCAGCATGAAAGACAGGAGGGGAGGAAAAGAGAGGGAGGGAGAGGAAGAGATAGTTCCACTGATAGTGGTTTTCATTAGATAGTTTCAACCAATAAGTGGCCAACCAGGGACTAATTGGCCAGGTGTGATTCACCTGTCTTCCCCTGGAGCAGATGGAAAGGATCCCTTGAGAAAGGAGGAAGATGAATTCAGGTGGGTATTAGGATCTCATGAATACAAGAATGCTAGTCAGAAAATAAAATGCCTACTCCAAAGCAACCTGGACATTAGGTGCTCCTCAACCTGCCTCTGCAAGCATCTGGGAGTCCCAAGAACCTCTGCTCTAGTTTGTCTTCCCTTTCAAAGATCAGCTCAGGTTGTATCTACCTGAAAAATCGGTCCAGCAAGACTGGAGAGTATAATCCTGTACCCTCCCGTCTCAGGACCCTTACCTGCCAAAAAGGGCAAAACCCAATGAGGGCGGGAAGAAGGAAGGATGCCAGCAGGGTATGAACACTGGTTACAAGCAGAAAGTGGCTTCTCTCTGCCCACCCCAGAGGGGAGTGTTGTCTGGCTGGGCTCCTGCAGGGAGGGTCCCCAGAATGCCTTTTTGGGCATCTTTCCACCCCCTACCACCATGCATACCACCAGGGAACAACTAGAGAATTCAGAGGTTTTATAACATCGACCAGGCTGTGGTCCTAAATGTAGATCTCAGAGAGCAGATACCTGTGTTTCTCATACAGGGTGCCCTGATCCTGAGTACTTTACACCACAAGGCGGGTACTGCAAGCCCCGCCCTCTCTCGCTCTGGGCCTTGGAGAAGCCAGGTGTGATCTAGCAAGGAGGCGGCAGATAAGGTCAATATCTTAGTGTTCTCCTCCCCACCCGCCCTCACAAAGCCCTCCTATGGCAAGTGAAAACACCACATAAAAGTTCTGTAGAAAGCTGCTCTGTAGGATACATAACTTATCAATTAAAGGAGTGTGCTGCTTGCCACATAGGGACAGATGCCCAAGTTCAAAGCCCAGCTCTGCCACTCCGAGGCTGTGTGGTATTCAGGGATCTCACATACACCCTGTGCCTTGGTAGACTCCCTTGTAAAATGAGGCTGAGGATAGCCTGGGCCTTGTAAGACTGTTGTAGAGAGTCAAGAAACAAAAGAGAAAAGGACAAACTAATACCTACGGTGTCTTGGGCGATGACAGTATTTGGGCCTGGAAATGAATGGCTGCAATATGATAAGGGAAGGGCGGGAGGAAGTGGGGCGATGGAATAGCACACCCTGGGGAGGAAATAATTCTTCAGCACAACCTCTGTGCAGACCTGTCCTCCGCTTCCTTTTGAAATCCTGGAGCCAGGATTTTTCAGGGGCCGCTCTGCTGCTCACCCGGAGCTCAGAGCCTGCCTGCCTCTGGGAATCTGGCTCAGGATGCCTGAGAGAGAGTTTCTGGCTCGGACCTGCTCCAGGAGGCACGCCTGGGCCTGCCCACTCCCTTCACCCTGCCGCCCCCAGGTCACCCACTTGGCCGGCCTTTTGCCTGCCAGGGCGTGGGCCTGGCAGAGACTTCAGAGCCTGTCTTACCTCTCAGGCTGTTTACCAGGCCTAGCGAAGTCCACCCCGGTCCTCCCTGGCCTGCCTCCACTACTGCAGCACCCTCAGAGCTGCCCCTGGGGCAAGTGGCAGCTCCCCGCTGCCCAGCACGCTGGTGAGTGTGTGGGCGGCAGGCAAACAAGCCCCTCAGTGTTCCAGCAGCCCGCCCAGTCCCTCTGTTGTCGGGGTGGAGCCTGACTGTAACCCCTAGGGTCCAGGGACTGCACTTAGCCCCCACCTCCCACCCACTCCCTTTGGTAAACCCACCCTGCATGCCCTCCTGGGAAGGGTGACAGGGCACGGGGTGGCAGCTCCGGGTGTGGTGAGCCTGGCTTGGGGCTCGCAGATGCCCTGCTCCTGGTCACAAGCGGCTGGGTTCAAGTTCAATTCTGAAACTCCAGGGGCAGCCCCAGGTACCCCAGCTTGCGGTGGGAAACCTGGAGGGAGGAGATCCGTGCGGTGTGCGTGCGTGTGCGTGTGCGTGTTTGTGTGTGTGTGTGTGTGTGTGTGTGTGTGTGTGTGTGTGTGTGTGTGTGAGAGAGAGAGAGAGAGAGAGTTTGGTGTGTTTGTGTGGGTGGGTGGATGGGGGGGTGTCTAGGCCAGTCTCACGCCGGAAGAGCTCTGCATACTGGCCACCGGAGGTTTGCAGAACCTGAAAATGAGGTAGCACGTGTGAGAGGGGTCTTGTGGACAGGCTGGTGGGAGAAGAAGGAGCTGTTTGAACTCCAGGAAATTCCAGAGTAAAAGGAGCTGTCCTACTCCCAGCGTCATGTTTGGAGGGAAGAGAGGGCGGTGCAGGGCACTGATCTGAGCAGGAGAGGAGGGGGCGCCTGGCGTTGCTCCGCTGTCTCGGTTGTTGGTATGACCTGTTCTTTCTGTGGGAACTCAGTACCTGCAGTGGTCCCAGTTCCTCTGCCTCTTCTTGAATTGGGGGTGCCTGGACTCCCAGAGGAGGCGGTGGCCCCGTAGGAGGACCCTCCAGGGCTTCTCTGCCAAGGGTCCTCAGCACTGGCAGCATCCTCGGCCCCAACACGCCCTGCTCTGCTGGACCCTTCCCGGACCTCTTATATCCACCTGGAGACTCTCTTCCTGTGCCAATCCTGTATCTGCACAATGATAAGCTCACTTGGCACCAATTTAAAGTTGTTTATTGCAGTCCCACTCACTCTGAGTCCTCCATTCATTTCACAGAAACGTCTCAAGCCTGGCCATGTGCTGAAGGCAGTGTGGTGTGGATGTAAAGTTGCAGTGATAAAGGAAAAGGTTGTGTCCAGTGTGTGGTGGTCACTACACTCAGCCCTGTCTCCTGGAGTCTCTGACACCAAGGATGGCAAAGGGTCAAGAAATCCGTATTTTTAAAAATGTACTTCGAGTGACCATTGTCAAGACTTTCTGGGAAACTGACCTAAGGGTTGAGAATTACACCGGGCTACCCAATGGGAAGGACAGGGGGAATTGTGGCAATAGGTAAGGCTGTGCTGGAGCTTAGCACATGGCTGTGGACTGGACGATTGAGTGTGGACATGTTCTTTGTGGCAGGAACAGCATGTGCAAAGGCCCTGCAGTGGAAAAGTAGAGCTCAGGAGGAAGGGGAAGCTGGAGGAGTGGGTCAGAGTTAAAGTGAGAGGGGTACTAGAGAGCACTGAGGAGCCCTCGAGTGTTCTGCACAAGAGAGCTGCCACAATGGGTACTTTTGAAAGGCTTCTTATTTAGCAGAGACACGCACTGAGCATTAGGATCTATGCCAGGTTTGCAGAATCAGGCTTCTCGCCCAACTCTCTCCTCCCTGGAGTCTTGGCAGGCCCCTGGCATAGAGGGAGGGGAGCCCAAGTGAAGATCTGGCTTGGCTCCCACCTGCAACATGCCCTAGATGGTGGGCAGCCCAGAGGGAGGGATCCCATGTTCTGGCTTCACTGCCAAGATCCCCTGAGCTCTGCTGCCACCCAGAAGGCAGTGCCAAGACCCCACTTACCCTCTGCCCACCTCTGGCTCAGAGGGGTTATCCACCAAGATGCTAAAAGGGAGCACACAGGAACCCAGAGGAGCAGGCATACATCCCCTTGGGCAGACACCGCCTCCCCTGGGCCGAGTCTGGCTCCCCAAACCACTTCACATACCTGTGTAGTCTGGGGGTGAAACTGGACTGCAGAGTGACCCCTACCCTGCCTCAGTTCCAGCAGTGGCTAGTGGGACGGGAAAGGCAGGGACAGAATCCGTGAACAACACCCAGCTGGCTGGGCTTGCTTGGCACAGAGCTGGGTAGGTTCCAGGATATCTACCCAGGGGACAGGGCACACCGCGTTTGTACAGAGCGGAGAGCTGGGTGTGTGTATGTGGACATGTGCATGTACGGACAAACCCAGGGTCTTTGCACTGTGCCACAGTCCTGATGTTTCTAAAATTTTGAGATAGGGTCTAAGTCACTAAGTAGTCCACGTTAGACTCAAACTTATCATAGACCTGGACTCAGCTCCCCGAGTGCTAGAATTACAGGCTATCTACTCTTTGATTAGATTTAAAGCTCCAGGACCAAATCTTGGAATCCAGAGACAATAGATATGGAACAGGGTGGGGAGGAGGACAACTTCCATCCTGAAAACTAGTGAAAATGGTAACAGGATCATTTCTGAGGAAAGATAAGTCTCTAGGAATTTTCAAGAAACCAAGATGGGGTAGTGGGGTGAGAGGGGGATTGTATCTCACAGGCACCTTCTGTATCCTTCCATTCCAAAGGTGATTGGCCCCTTTATTACCCTCCTGGAGTCCTACAATTCTGGAGGCATTGCTGAGGAGCCCCTTCCCCAACATGGCTTGGCCATGCTGTTGGTCTGAGTATGAATCCCTGAGTTATGAGCCCAAAAAGTTCTCCCCTCTCCGTGGAGCTCTCTGGAGTCTCTCAGCCATGCACAAACAGTAATCCTCCTGAGTCCCAGCTGTGATGATCTCTGTGGTCTGGACTTCATAAGTATTACCCCAGATAACCCTTGCCAGCCCCCAGTGAATGGAAACTGTTATCAGTGTGCCCATTCTGCAGATGAGGAAACTGAGGCCTAGAGATTTTGAGCTGCACACAGTCATGGAGTGGGAGAGGATGGCTGGCTCAGATGGAAATTAATGCGGCAGCATCAGACTTCCAGAAGCAAGCACTCTAAACTCTTGTGCTGGCCAAGGGGAGGTGAAAGTGACACTTGTACTCAAGGCACTGAGTGGGGCACGGGTGACAGGGCACAAAATACCCAGCAGTTCCAAGAGGTGCCTCAGGCAGAGATGTGACCAGGGTGAGGTTAGTGAGATGCAAAGTGTAAGGAGGCCCTGAGGGTACAGTGATACTGACTATTCACAGGTCCCTGCACATGAGGCCTCCTACCAGGGGTTGTATAGATTCATCATAGAAATTTGCAAGACACTTTCCCAACCTTAATCAATATGTTCTGTCATGTCTAATAGATGAGTTCAGATTGCACCCAGAACCTTTCTTAGATAGAGAATGAGACTGAAGGAGAGATGGATTTGGGATGTCTTATCTTTAATGGAGGGGGATTTATTTAACGTAATTAACCATTTTAAAGTGAGCACTTCAGTGGTGAACAGCATGTCACGCAACCAAGATTTGTCTAGTCCAAATTTTCATGACCCAACAAACGACCCACACCCATTAAGTGGTTACTTTCTTCCCCTCCCCCAGACCTTTATTTTTTGTAGTACTGGGGGTTAAATCTAGGGCCGTCACACTGAGGTACATCTCCAGGACCGTTTTTTACTTTCCTTTTTAATGTTGACATAGGGTCCTGCTATACCTCTAAATTGCCCGAGTTGGGCTTGAACTGGTGATCTTCCTTCCTCAACCTCAGATAAAGTTGAGATGCACAGGTCTTCACCACCACACCTGCTCCCCAGGCCCTTAAGGTGAGGTGAGCTGAGAGCCACACCTCAGTAATCTCACCAAATGCACCCTGGTCCTGCCAGGTCTGCCTCTCTGTTCATGGTAAAGGTCAATCTTTTGAGGAAGGAGACCTATTTTCTCTTCTTCTCATCCTCAGTTGACATGGCTTCCTCATCTGCCGAGACCTCTTCCAGAACACACTGCCAGCCACAAACCCGCTGCCCTCCCAGGCTCTGTCCCCACTGAGGTGCCCACCCCCAGTCTGTCCCCAGAGGAGCGCCAGGAATCCCAAGCAGCGCTGCTGGGTGTGGAGAGAGGCGGGCTGCTGTCTCTCGGGGACACAGAGAATTCCAGGCCTGAGCACAGCATGTCTGTGTCTGGGTCACATGGCAGCAGAAGGCTTCAGGCCCAGCCCCAGCCCCAGCTTCATATCAGTCCAGGTATGCTCTGTGTGTTTCCAGAGGAGGATCTGGACTCCCTGCGGTTCTTTAGGAATGTTAATTGTGCACTTTGAACCTGCCTCCCATTCCTGCCCTTCCCCCCTTGAAGGGACCCTTGTCAGGAGCACCCTTGGGAACCGCAGGAGAAAACAGCCAGGACTTTGTGTGCGGTGACGCACTGACATTTCTGGGCATGGCAGAGACAATGCCGCCTCCCTTCCAGAGCCTGTGGCCTGAGTGGTGAGAGTGGGGGTTGGGGGTAGTCGGAGCGCCCATGAGGACCCCTCAGAAAATGGGGAATGAATTCTGGGGCCAGTGCCAGCTCATCCTAGCTGCGTCACTGTGCACAAGTGACCCAGCCTCTCTGTCGTAGGGGTGGGCCCGGTTCCTACTCCACAGCATGGGCATGGAATTCCCTGGGCTGAGTAAAGTTCTTGGCATGCGCCAGCATTCCAGTTTTGATGACCATTGTTTGTTTTAGTATCTCCTTAGAGGTGCTACCTGGTGCTTTTCTGACCAGCTGCGTTGGGCCCAAGAACTCCCTCCTGGTCCACTTGTTCAGAAGATAAAAATTGGTGTGTACCTCACTGGAGACCCCGGTTAAACAGAACCGATTTCCCCTGGGATATTAAGAGTCACAGGTCTGTGACAACCCATCGCTTTTGCTGTCTGTCACAACTGTTAAGTCTGACCGTGAACAGTTCACACAGGGAAGCAGAGTGTCATAGGAAGCCACTGAACAGGAGTCAAGGGGCCTGGTCCTCACGCCAAATTTGTCTCTACTCTAGTTGTAAGACACACTTGAATCCTTTCTTGACTCAACCCCCTGAGCCTCAATTTTCTAAAGCAACCGTGCTGTTTCAAAAAGTCATTAAAGAGCCATAACAAAGGGGGATAATACAGGCAGCCCCCGAAGGGTTAGTAAGCAACGTCTGTTAGTGAAGCATGTGTGGAGGGGACATTCGCAAAATGAATGCTGCAAACTCAGTATATCAGCTACACACAGTTCCCTGCTCATACTATATATTTCCAGGGGCCTGATATCTAAGTAAGATCAGAATATATGAACTTACTGCTCCCACTGCAATGCTGATAGAACTGATCATGTGTTCAACAACTGAGGTTGGAGACCAGAGCTAAGAAGATAACTTAAGAGGACAGCCAACATCTTGGCTCAGGCGCTCCCTGGTGAACAAGGACCAGGACATGAAGAGACCTTTTCTACAGGATCTCACAACCTTGGTGAGTCATCCAACCTCATGAGCAGAGAGATTGCTGGGCAACAGAGGACAAGAACCAACTAATGTACAGTGTGATGAACAGGAAGGTCACCAGAGAGAGAAATGTGTTCCATGCTTCCAAGGGAAGCCACGTGTTCAAGCAAGACCATGACCTGTCCTGGTAGCTGACACTTATAGAGGTGTCAAGAGGCTCTTTTTAGGGTTCTGAAAATAATCCATGAAAAGCCCTAACTGAACTTGATGTATAACAAAAGGTTAGTTTTGATTAACACAGCATTTTAACTTGGTCTTAAACACCCAACAGAAAGACACAACCAAAAGATGTATAAAAGTATTACCATAATAATAGACTAGATACAGAAAGTGATTTTCAATCACTGACCCCTGCTGACAGTTTCCAGCTACACTTGTAACTGACCATTCTTACAGTCAATGAAGTGACATTGGAGGCTATAAAAGCTCAGTGAAAGTCTTTAAATTCCTAAGATAAAATTATCTTTCAAAACAGCCAAAATCTCTGTCTTACAGCTAAAACTGGAGGGACTTAGCACAAAATTATACCAGATTTACAGATAATCTCAATCAATAGAGAGGTCTAGAAGCCTACTGGTTAAGATCACTATTCCAATTCCTTAAGCACAGTGTCTGGATGTGGATCCTTCCCCAAATTATCTTTCTATTCTAGTGCTCATGCTTGGTCACATGTGCTTTAATCTCCTAGTAAAGTTTATTCTCACCTAGAGACTGCCAAACTCCAAGTGATCATCCAGATGGAGCCAATTGATAAATGTGCCTGACTCCTCTTCCTGGGCTCCACTAGATCAACCTTCCAAAGGGATTTCATAACTGCTAACCTCCAAGTTGGCTTTTATCCAGGGCCCCCTAGATTAGCTCTCAGGAGAGGGCCCCTGACTTCAGTCTTCCCTACACTGCACTTGAAGCAGCTAGACTGAAACTTTGCCCATTTCCCTGATTGCAGTTAGAGTTAGCTCTTCTAGATGGGGGAATATTATAGACAGCTAAGTTAGATAGAAATTAATACACAGTCAGGGAAGGACTAGACTCTTAGGAAAGTCAGCACAAAAATAAAGACATCAAAATTGTGGCTGGAGGTGCATCTGAAAAGGGCCAGTCCTCAAGATAAAGATGCGATGTCTGCCTCCCTAAGAGACAAGCAGTACCTGGAAACATACTATAGTTAGTCCCACTTGGTCCAATAAGTCCAGTTAGGCATCAGTCACTCAGGTGGGTGACCAGAGTGTCTGGATCCAGCCCTTCTCAAAAATGCCTTTGTTCTTGCCATATACCCTTGCTACATGACTTGTTTCCTTATTGAATCAACATTAGCTAAGTGTAATCCTATAGGTAGATTGTAGTCTGACCTGTGTTGTACCCACATTGTGACTTGGCTGTATGAATTGCCCTTGACAAAGGGGCTCAGTGCCAACTCATTCGGGACCTTCTATCTCTCAAGAATTATCTTTCAAATTTCCTACTCTTAACCTTTGTTGTCCCTTGAAATTCACTATTTGATATTCAGGGGACAAAAACTTGGCACATTTGAAATCTAGAACATTGGGAGTTATATTTCTCCTGTGTCAGTCCCATTAAAATTTTTTATTAGTACATATTTGTAGCAAATACGGCTTACATTATTTGTGTGGATTTGATACTACTACGTAACACATCTTAATTCCTTTTTGATTCCCTTTCTCTCCCTTCCCCTCCATATCTTGATGTCCTTCCCATTTGAGAAAGGTCCATCTCTCTACTTCCTTATCCATCTATTATTTTGCGTTTTATTTTTGAGTTTCCTATATAAGAGAAGTCATGTAATATTTAAATTGTGTGCCTGATTTATTTCACTTACCATTATGATTTCAAGGTAAATCCATTTTTCTACAAATGACCCAAGTTTATCTTTCTTCATCTTTCCACTGTGTGCAAATATCACGTTTTCTTTGATTCATCTGTTGATGGGCATATAGGCTGCTTCCAAGATTTAGTTATTATGCTATAAACATGGCTTTGCATGTATCATTGTAATATGTTGTCTTTAGGTCTTTCAGGAAGATGGAAAAGAATGACTGGGTCAAATGGAATTTCTAGTTTTAGTTTTTTGAGAAATCTCCATAATGACTTCCATTGAAGTTGTATTGATTTACATTCTTCTTAACACCATAGAAGTGTTCCTTTTCCCCCACAGCCTCATCTGCATTTATTACTAGATTTCTTGATGATGATCACTCTTTCTGGGATAAGATGGAGTCTTAATGTCAATTTGCACTTATCTAATAGCCAATAAATAGTTGACTTATTCATTGGTTATTTGCTCACCTTCTTCTGTGAAATGTCTATTCATCTCAATTGGGCAATGTTTTAATTTGGTCTCTTATTGGGAGGAGGTAAGCTTTTGTTGAGTTCTTTATAAATTCTAGAAGGTAGTCCTCTGTCTGAAGAGTAGCTGGAAAACTTTTACCCATTCTGTAAGTTTCTTTTCCCTCTACTGGTTGTTTCTTTTGATGTTTAGCAGCTTTTTAACTTGATACAATCCCATTTCTTGATTCTCAATATTATTTCCTATGCAAGCAGACTTCTTTAAGAAAGTTCTTGCCTATGCCTATGACTTCAAACATGTTATCTATTTTATCTCTCAGCAGATTGTTTCTGTTTTAACATTTAGTTAGTCCATTTTGATTTTAGATTAACACAGTGAGAAATATGAGTCTAGATAAAATCTTCTCCATGTGGATAGCCAGTTTTCCCAAGACCACCTATTTAGAAAGTTAGTTTCTTTCCTCCAGTGTGTTGTTGACTCTTTGGAATGTGCAGGGGTTGTTTCTGTTTTATTCTGTTCCATTGGTCCTCATGGCTGTTTCAGTGCCAGCATCATGCCATTTTAATCACAGTAGCTTTATAATATGACTTTAAATTCAGGATTGTGATAATTCCTGCTTTGCTCTTGTTATCTAGGATTGCTTTTGCTATTGTGGGGGTCTTCTGGTTTCATATGAATTTTAGATTATTTCTTCTGTGAAGAATGCTGCTGGTATTTTTATTAAGTTTGTGTTAAATCTATGTGTCAACTTTGGAAGTATCACCATTATGCCTATATTGTTCTGCTTATCCGGGAAAAGGGCATATCCTTCCATTTTCTAATATTCTTTTTGATTTTCTCTATCAGAGTGCTTTAATTTTCATTGTAGAAGTCTTTCCTTAAACTAATCATTAAGTATTTAATTTTTCTTAGTGTTATTGTGAATCATATTTTTTCATAATTTCTTTTATTATTCGTTTATTATTAGTGTATTTTGTATCTTGCTACTTTACTTTGGTTATTAGTCTAAGTCTTCTGATGGAGTTTTAAGATCTTCTAAACAGAAGATCATGTCATCTGCCAACAATGATATTTGATTTCTTTCTTTCAAATATATATATATCCTTTTTATTTCTTTTTCTTGCTTAGTTTCTCTTGCTAATGTTTCAAGTACCATGTTGAACAGGAGTGGGGACAGTGGTCATCTTTGTCTTGTTTCCAACTTTAGATGAAAATGATTCTATATCTTTGATTGAGGCTTGGGTCTAAGCTCATCAGCTTTATCAGTTCCCACATTCTAGACTGCCTCTCTTTGTCATTTTTCTCTCCAAAGCCTCTGAATTTCTAGTATCAGCCATGGTGTTCAGAAAAATGTTAAATATTCAGTCAGGCCATGGGAACAGAAGGCTGTAAACATACATGATCACTCAAACACACACACACACACACACACACACACACACACACACACACACTTTCTCCTAACGAAGGGAGTAATTCATCCTCTGGAGCCAGCTGGGTCACATACCTCTGAGTCAATGGGGAAGGCAAGTGCTTAGCTGGGAAATGCTCTTCTGTCTCCACTCAGTGAGGTTGTGCAAAGATCTCCTGCCTTTGACTTTTCTACAGCTGTGGAGACATCCCACACTGCTGTAGCCAGTACCCTCATCTCCTGAGAGCAACGGTGGGGTTGCACGTCACTGGATCCCTCTACTGGGAAGAGGATAAGGGGTGAAGGGCTCACTATTCCCATACCCAAGTGCAATCACATTCTGTATCCTACAACTCAGAAAGTAGCCACGAATCCAAGAGGGAATGCCAGACCTTAGTATGCACAGGTTTGGCCATTTGCTAATCTCTAATAAAGTAGTCATGGGACACCACTCTGTGCCAGAATTGAGAGTACAGAGTTGACTGCAATGTCAGGGCACAAGGTTTCCTCTACTTGGTCTCCCCCCAAGCTCACTCTAGGCTTCTTATGCACCTGTCTGAAAAATTCTTGTGAAAAAGCATATCCAGCACCCAGACCATGTTTTTGTTTGTTTGTTTTGTTATTTTTCAGTACTGAGGGCTTCATACTGAGCTACATCTCCAGCTCTTTTTATTTTTAAGTTATGAGACAAGGTCTTGATAAATTGTCCAGGCTGGGCTTCAACTTTCAGTCCTCCTGATTGCTCTCCCAGAGTGTTGAAGTGACAGGTGTGTGCTGCCACATAGCTCAGACTGGTTTCTAAATACCATCTACTATAGAAAACAACCAGCTTCACACATTGCCCTCTTAGGAACAGACTGCATGGCTTCCTAGGCCTTCTTCTAAAATCTGGGTGTAAGTCTTCCTGACCCGCAACTCTTGCATCATGCATGCACCTGCACCCAACACTATGTTCTGCCACCAGCTGAAGCAGTAGCCGTTTCTTTATACCAAGAATGAAGGGGTCTGTCTCACTGCCAGTGCAATCTGAAAGAGTTTTGGCCCAGACAGGACACTGTAGCCGGTAAAGCCAAGGAGCTCCTATCTCCCCCATGCTTAGGAATTTACCTATGGCGCCAAACAAAGATCAATAGGCTACCTGTGCATCCCTAATGCCCCCTTAGGTCCCACCCCAAACCGAGGCTACTTATATGCCTCACTCCAGTGTTCCATGGAGAGATCACCGACCCTGGGGTGGAGGAGATGCCCCAGGGGATTGGGGGTGTCTCTCCCCACATTCTCAAAATAAAGGTCATTTTTATTTCATACTTCTTATCTTTTCAGCCGCCACCGGTCCCCCACAGTTCTATCACAATCCTTGTCTCCAACTGAAATCTCCTGAACTTGATCTTTACTGGCTGCATTTTATCAGCATTCTGAGCTCTGACCAGAATCTCCCACCAAGATTGACTCACAGTATTTTTAGGATTGCTTCTTCAGTTGACATCTCCAAGTCTTTCTAGACTTCTGAACCATAGTGAGGTAGTCACTGCAATGACCTCACTTCTCTAGTACCAAAATCGGTATCAAGGTTGTTTAGAGGAACAGATGTAATATGAAATATATGACATATAAAGTATTTACAAGGTAAGCTTACATGACCCCCTGCAGAGTTAGGTGCAGAAAAAGGACTGTCTGAGTGCTGGAGAGCCAGAGGATCCAGTCTAAGGTCAAAAAACCAGGAGTTCACTGCAGAGTCCCAAGAGTCCATATCTGAAAGTTCAAGGGCCTGTGCCAGAAGTCTAGAAACTGACCTTCAAAGGTGACGGTGACGACTGAAGCTCCTCCTCTGCAGCAGAAGCCAGACTTTCTTCTTTCCTTTTTACTCCATCCAAGACACAAGCCTATTGGTTGGTGCTACCCACACCCATGGTGACTCTTCCTTCTTCAGTAAATCCATCATCCAGACATACCCAGGACTGTGCCGAAGCAGTCAGCTAGGACTTTCTTATTCAAGGTGACAACACAATTAACTCTCACACCATCAAAGCATGACAAAATGTCAGCCAAAATTCAGGAGCATTCTTCACATAACAGACAAATACTCTTGAAAATAGTCAAGGTCACCAAAAACAAAGAAAAACTAGGAATCATCAGAGCAAGAAGACTGGGGACATCCAAGGTCCCCGTGCAGTATGTTGGCCTGGACTGGATCCCAGAATAGAAAAGGACGTGGATAGGGAAGCTAGTGAAATCCAAATAAGCTCTGGCGTGCAGTTGACAGCAATGTATCACACTAATTTCTTAGTTTTGACAAATCCTCCATAACTAATGGCCACGTGAGACAGTAACATCCAGGGAAACTGGGTAAAGGTCTAAGGGAACTCTGCATTGTCTTTGAAAGGTTCTACAAACCTAAAACTATTGTAAAGTAAGAAGCTTAAGAAAAGCATTTCGTCTTAATTGAAAAAGGAATACACGTTCATTGCACAAAGTTTGTAAAATTCACACATGAAAATCTAGCAAATGCTTACCATTTGCTCTGTTAACATTCTGGTAGATTTCAATGCAACCTTGCTTCCTGGGCACTTTTGACACAACTGGAAACAGATTTTAACACCATTTCCTACCCTCTGTTTCTAGCCTTCTAAACACGCTTCTTCAGCATTCAAACATTTAGTAAACATCATTTTTAAAGTACCAGATAGTCCATGGCTTAATTGTGTTGCTGTTGGACGTAACTTACAATGGCTTCTTGATAAAACTAACAAATACATCTGAGTCTACATTCTGGTTGTTTTCTAAAGATAAAGCCTTAAGACATTTATAAGGCTGAAGCAGGAGATTACAAGGTTGAGCCCAGCATGGGCAACTTGTGATACCCTATCTCAAAATAAAAAATCTCATCCCCAGTACCACACACCCAAAAAAGACATTTATATACATATCATCCACTCACTTTCCAAAAGTAGACTCCATGGTATCCAGCAAAAGGCTTATTTAGGATGCCTTTCTCCTGAGGGCTTTCTTTCTTTTTATTCAGCTTACCTTCCCAGGCTCTGGCTGTTTTGAACAGCTTCTCTTGTAACTTTCCCTATGGCCTCGACATTGCTCCTTCCGGGTCCTGTCTGCTCCTCCATGCCTTCACAGTCCCTCCCATGGTGCTCTGCCTGCTCAGCACCAGGCCCTCCTCTATCCCCAGACACAGCCTCCAGCTTCTCTCTTCTTACGGTCCACTAATATTCCATGGCATGTGTCAACTGCATTTGGTTTTCCCATTCATCCACTGATGAACGTTTGGGTGTTTCCATCTTGTGACAGTAATTACCTCCACGTGCAGGAGTCTGCACCCCTCATTTCATTTCCCATGGCTGTGTTCCTAAGAGACGAGCTTTTGGATTCTAGGGTAATTTTATGTCTGTCTAAGACAATTCTACTTCCTCGTAGAGTTTCCCCAACTCTCACTGCCCAAAAGAATTGCTTTTACCCCTTTTGTCCCCATAACAATTTATAAAACACCCTTTCTGCCAACACAGGAATTCAGACTCAGGACTTCTGACTCCAAATGCTTTTTTGGGCACTGTCCTACAGTGGATAACAATCACCTCCTCCTCAGACTGACTGCATTTCATGGATGGAACACCCAGGTTAAGACTTTGTTCAAGGCCACTCAGCAGCTAAGAGACAGAGCTGGGCTCTGGATTCTGAGTTCCAACCATCGTTGTACTCCTAAATGGGCAGGAGAGGAAGGAAGGAGGGGAGAAAAGAAGAGAGGGTGGTAATGAGGGAGGGAGGAAAGGGAAGGGAAGGAAAAGAAGAAGGAAGGGAGGAAGGAAAGGAGGAAGGAAGGGAGGAAGGAAGGAAAGAAGGGCTGCCTCTTCTATTCTTAGAAAAGCTCTGAGTCTCACAAGATCCAGGATCCACCCTCCAGAGATCAAAATCTGCCTCCCACAAAAGTGTCTGTAGCAAAGATGAGCTCCAGGAGCTTTGATTTGGGCACATATTTTGCCTTTTATATATATTTTCATGGTAGGGAGAAAATGACTCTTTTGTTTTCTGGCCTTTTCAAACTTTGTGCAGTTTAGCAAACTGAGGCAGGGCAGGGGGTGCAAGGGCCCACACAGGGGGCGGCCCAGGTGTGGCCGACCAGGCGAGGGGTGCTGGGGAAGGTCTTGCGCATGGCCATGCACTTCTCCTTGTCAATGCACAGGGTGTTGGCCTTGATGGCCAACTCATGCTCCAGCCGTGACTTGGTCATCACCAGCAGCTGCATTGTGTCCTGTGCCTCCCGCAGCCTCAGCCTCAGGGTCTGCAGAGTGTCGTTGATGGTGAACACCTCATTCACGAGCCTGGGAGGGGGCAGAGGGCAAGGCACTGTTTATTCAGCCACTCAACAAAGATGCATTCACTGTGCAGTAGAACAGTTCCTGGCGGTGTGACCAACAAGACCCAGGCCTGCAGGGAATGCCAGGCTCAACTCTTCGGGAGTCACCAGGGTGATAGGTATAAAGAAGGAACAGGACAGTAGACACGCCGTGCTCATAAGCTTTCTATGACTCTAACAAAACACCTGAGAAAACCGATTTAAAGGAGTAAAGGTCTATTTTGATTCATGGTATCAAAGATTTCAGTCTATGAGTGGCCCAGGTTCCATGGTGTAGGGCCCGTGTTAGGCAGAAATGTCAAGGGGGATTGGAGTGGTGGAGGAAAACTGCTCACTTCATGTAGGCCAGGAGGCAGAAAGAAGGGTAAGGAACCAGAGATGATGGCCTGGGGACAGATGTGGTCCCCAAAGTTACCCTCCAATGACCCATTTTCTTTAATGAGTCCTATTTCCTATTTCTACCACCTCCCTATAATGCTTCCAATTATGATCTCACAACTCTCATGAGGTAGAGCCCTCATGACCCAGTCACTCCCCCAAAGCCCAACAGGAACTAAGCTTTCAACACAATGAATCTTTCAGGAGACATACTGGGTCCTGACTATGACACAGGATAGGGACACACTTGGGTGGTTCCTCAGTAAGGGTTGGAGTTAGGGTGACCACTGATGGTGAACCTTTTAGAGCTTTCAGTGTTAGCAAGCAGCCTGCTGCAGCACGCGTGCCATAGGGTTACTGACCCTGGTGGGGGATTCTGCTTCTGAATCTATACCCAGCAGAACTTAAAACAGGCGTTCATACTAACAGGTGTACAAATGTTCACAGCAGCACATTTCACAGGTCCCACAGGTGAAAGAAACTCCAATTCCCACTGTGATGAGTGGATGAACAAAACGTGATGGCATATACACACTGTGAAATATTCAGCTGCAATACAAGGGAATATTTTGTTACGTGTGTTTGCAATAGGGTTTTGACTATTTGGAAACAGGGTTTTTGCAGATGACAAAAAGGGCCAGCCTCATGTTTGATATGAAGGTTTGGCCCACTAGTGACTCTTGAAGTCTTGCTCAGTCTCCCTGACTGGACTCCATTACCAGCAGCTGTGTGTGTTGGGTGCTATGGATCACTGGTCCACAGCTCAGGGAATGATGACTCTTGACCAGTCAGAGTGCTACCACCAAGGGCCGACTGACTCAGATACTGAAGTCTCCCCTTGCCTCATGGTTGGAACGACTCAGACTTGAGGCCAGGCTGCCTTAGACCTCTTCCTCGCGGCTGGGGAACTTTCCAAAGGCACTGGAAAGGCCTCTCTGAGGAGGGGATTTTGGAACAGAGGGTAAAGATGGGAGTGCCAGGTGGGACTTGAACATGTGATCCTCTTGCTCAGGCCTTCCAAGTGCTGGGAAGGGAAGTGGTTCTAAAGAGAAGAGCACAAACAAAAGTAAGGGACTTGGGTCTTATTTCCATTTCCCCAAGGAGTCATGGAAGGGAAAGATTAAAAGGGGAGATCTGGAGGCCGCTGGGTAAAGATTCAACTGCAATGGGCAAGTGCAGGAGCAGGAGAGTGCTCCGGGCTTACTGTGGTGGCCAGGTTCAGGGGCTGCACAGTCTCTCTTGGAAAGAAATATCCAAGTCCTAACTCCCAGATCCTGGGTTGTGGTGTTACTTGGAAATCTTGTGTTTGCAGATGTCATTAAGGATCTGAAGATGAGGTCATACTGGATTTACTGTGGGCCTTAAATCTGGTGGCACATCTCCTTATAAGAGAAAGGCTAGGGAGGCTCAAGACACAGAGACGACACACAGGGAAGAAGGCCAGGTGAAGGTGAAGGCTGAGCGTGGAGAGAAACCCTAAAGCCAAGGAGGCCAGGGACAGGGACAGGCCTAGAGCCCCTACCCCTGCTCAAAGACCCCTTCCTGGACCAGCTCAACCTTCCCAGCTGTCCTGATGTCAACAGACGCAGCCCCTTAGCTAAGTGTGATGGAGAAGTCCAGCTAGCAAGGGCCTCATGGTGAGATCTTTACAAGGAAGGAGGTGGGGAAATGAGACAAGAGCCAGCACTTTTTCCTCAGAGCTTGGAGAAAGAAGGTGAGGCAACCACGGGTCCAAGCCATATCCCTGCCTGGGAGGCCAATATTCCCTTGGCTTTCTTTTTTGAATGCTGGGGATTAAATCCAGTGCCTTGTACATGCTAGACAAGCACTCTTTTATCAGTGAGCCATATCTCCAGCCCACCTTTCATTGTTGTTTTGAAACAGGGTCTCACTAAATTGCCCAGATTGACCTTGAACTTGCAACCATCCTGTTTCAGCCTCTGAAGTAGCTGGGATTATAGGTATGCATCACTACACCTGGCATCTCTTTGGCTTTCAGGGGACAGCAGGAAGGTGTCCTGAGCACAGAGATCCAAGCACCCCTTTGTGAAATGGGTTGCCAAGGGCCAACTGGCAGGGGCAGAGGAGCTGTGGAGAGAGGCAGCTGTAGCTGGGCTCACAACTCTAGTCCCACGCAGCTCTCTGCTGAGTGGTAAGAGGGGATGTCCTGATTAACAGAGGAACTGTAGTTCAGGCCCAAGGTTCCTAGGTTCCAAGGCCCACCTCTGCCCTTCATGGGCCACATGAGGTACGTGCATTTGCACGCGCACACACACACACACACACACACACACACACACTCACTCACTTGAACTGCGGGGTGTCCCTGCACAGCTCCACATTGGGGCGCCGGCTCCGGCACTCCAGCCGCGTGTGGGCCACCTTCAGTGGGCACTCCTTGGCCAGGATGGCCCTCTCCAACAGCATGATGGTGTTCTCGGTCTGGAAGATCTCTTGCAGCGTCTGTGGAGATGATGAGGCTGTCACCACCCCAGGACTCTCTGACCTCCTGCCACTCGGGTATGGAGGAAGCCGAGAGCAACCCAAGAAACTCCAAGTCAAGCGCATAAATGACTCTTTTCCAGCCTTGAGCGTTGGTTCTGCACCAAACTAGGACAACCCTGGGACAGTGTTTCAGGTACCTCTGGTCACCAGGGCACTGTGCACACTGGGGATGGGTGCGTGCTAGGGCTGGTTTTGTTTTGAATCTCCAGTGGCCACTGGAGTCAGCCAGTGTTCAGTGGGAAGGAGGAGAGAGGAGCCTTTAAGGTGAAAATACATAGCCTGCAGGGTTGGGGGCATAGCTCAGTAGTAGAGTACTTGTCTAGCATAGGAAGACCCAGGATATAATTCCTAATATCACTCTCTCCCCTCCCAAGAAAAAAGGTCAATATACACAATCCAAATCAAAAACAATAGGCAGTCCCTTAACACCACTCTCACCTGAATGACCATGAGTTGTCCTCCACCTTTTTACAATCTACAATTTACTTTCCTAGTCAGTAGGTCAGTAA